ACTAGAAGCTGGATGGTTCCTGCTCCGTCATGCCATCCGGAAAGGTGATCCTGAACTTCGAGCCCACGTTGTTGACAAGTTCCTACTGCTACCTTTCCGCTCTGGATGGGACCCTGACCATGGAGGCCTCTTCTACTTCCAGGATGTTGATGGCCTCTGCCCTACCCAGGTGGGAATGTGCCCAGGGCCACATGATACTAACCTGTTCAAAGCTTGCTGTCATCACCCATTTTATAGAGGGGACCCCAGGCTCAGAGCAGTGAACTTGCCCAGCATGACCTCAGTGGTAAGCTCTTGACTTCTGGGCCAGTGGCCCTCAACCTTATGTGCACAGAGAGGCCATTAGCGAGCACAGACAATGCTGATGCAGAGACATGTGTCCCCTGCATCTTTGAAAGGCTCTCTGGGTGATTTTAAGATGTCAGCAGTGGGAGCAGATTTGCTCCCTTCTGTCTGTTTCCTCTGATTGAGCCTTGATCCTGCTGAGATCTGCAGAGGGTGGCTGACTGTCACTGGCAGGAACTGAGTGTCCGAAGGGCTTTAGCCAGACTGACAGGACACACAGGGTTTCAGTTCCAGTGCTAAAAGGAAGCTTGCCCCAACCTTGCCCTCTGGGGTGCACTGGGACAAAAAGCCAGTCCTATTCTGAGAGGCTGTTCAGACCCCCAGAGATGTTCATCCTGTGATTAGGCTCCTAGTGCTTGGACCAGATGGAACCTGAGCCAGGACTTGAAAGATGAGGGTGACTGTCCTGCTGAGAGGGGTGGCGGAGGGTGGAACCCAGGGCTCTCAGATGCCTACCTCTGCTCTCTCTCAGCTGGAGTGGGCTATGAAGCTCTGGTGGCCTCACAGTGAAGCCATGATTGCCTTACTTATGGGCTACAGTGACAGTGGGGACCCTGCCTTACTTCACCTCTTCTACCAGGTGGCTGAGTATACCTTCCGCCAGGTAAGTGCTGCTTCCCTCATCTAGGGGCTCAGTGAGGGTGTGGAAGAGACAGCAGGAAGTCATCCCTCCTCAGGCAGGCCAGGGCCAGGCTTTTCTGGGCAGTGGGGGAGGCTGGGCAGGGCTGGGGAGGCTCATCCCACATCCCCTACTCCCCGCTTCACTTGGTGTGGTCCCTCAGTTGGTCTGAGAGTCCCTGGAGGTCCCCCAGTGCCCTCTGTTCATTCAGTCAACGAAGTGGTCCCTACTCCCCTGGAGCTCATATTTCAGTGGTGGTGGGGAGACAGACTATAAACAAGTGAACAGGCAAATATAGTGATGAGAGCTATAGAAAATTAAAGGTCGGGAGGCTGTGGGAGGGAATAATGGTGGCAGGGGATGCTCTGTACAGAGTTGTGACCTAGTCTGATTTAGGCATTACTGGGTCCTGGGGCTTCAGGAGGGAAGGCTGTGGGGCACAGGACAAGGGCAGGGAGGCAGGAGGCTGTAGCTATCATCCTGGTCAGTGAGGGTGGGAGCCTGGCCTGGGTGGGAGCTGCAGTGGGCAAATGGATCAGAGTCTGGTTAAGTGGGAGAAGTCTGGCCCACAATTGTTTGGTTGTTATAAGAATATAGATAATAATGGAAGTCAGGAGACAAAATAAGTTTTTGAAAGTACAGAAGGAGAGGAGGGAATAGGAGGGCCTAGCAAAGGAGACAAGAATCAGCTTCAAAGTAGGAAGGAAGCCAGCCTCCTCCCCACCACCCAAAGCCAAATGCCATGAGCACAGTGATGAGCTGTACCAGCTGCTGCTGAGGGGTACCTCAGGTGCTGAGCCTGGTAGTGAATGAAGATTCCTGATGTGTTTCTAAAGCCACAATTTACTCAATTGGTAAACTCCAGTTTTATGGATTTTTTTTTTAAAGGGAGGGACCATAGCAAGGGGTCTTATTCTGGGGGTCCATGGGCCTTGAAACCTGAGAGAAAATTACATCTTTATTTGTACTAAGCTCTAACTGAAATCCAGCATTTACTCTCATTATGAATGGCGGCCGTGACCACAGCAGCACTAGCATTGCCTGACTTTGTCACCAGTAGAAATCCCAAATATGTTCATGTTACATTGTACTTAGAGAGGCATCTCCAAGTGTCGCACAAGCTCATCACTACTTCTAAACCTGGGAGTCATGAGACCTAAGGCTATAATCTTTCTTAAAAATAGATTTTATTTATTTATTTATTTATTTATTTATTTATTTATTTACTTATTTACTTATTTATCATCCTCACCCGAGGACATTTTTGCATTTATCTTCCAGATAGAGTGGGAGGGAGAGAGGGAGGAAGAGAGAGAGAGAGAAACATCCATGTGAGAGAGAGAGACATCGAGTGGTTGCCACCCACACAACCCCAACTGCGGCCAGGGACAAACTGCAACCCAAGTATGTGCCCTTAGTGGAAACCGAACCCAGGACTCTCTGATCCGCGGGCTGACGCTCTAACGCTGAGCCAAACCGGCCACGGCTAAAAATATATATATTTTTTAGAGAGAGAGAGAGAGAGAGAGAGAAACATCGATGTGAGAGTGAAACATCAATGGGTTGCCTTCTGCACATTCCCTACCGGTGATCAAGCCTGCAGCCCAGGCACGTGCCCTGACCAGAAATTGAACTGGCAACCCTTCTGTGCAAGGGACAATGCCCAACCAACTGAGCCACACCCCAGGGCAAGGCTATATATTTTTTGTTGTTGTTAATCCTCACCTGAAAGATATTTTTTCCATTGATCTTCAGAGAGAGTGGAAGGGAGGGGGAGAGAGAGATTGGAGAGAGACACATCGACTGATTGCCTCCCACACACGCCCCAACCAGAGCTGGGGGTCAAACTTGCAACCCTTCAGTGCTCGGGCCGGCGCTCTAACCACTGTGCCACACCAGCAAGGGCACAAGGCTATATCTTAATATTGAATGCATTCATAAAGAACACGTGTTAGAGACCACCAGTTTTAACTGCCTAAAGGTAAATTTAAGGAATACATTTTTAAGAGCCAGAGATGGCATTTGAACAATTAACAAAAGTTATCAACAGGTAAATCATTATGCACTAACCAATATAACAGAATACAAAAAGCAAAAATTTAGACATCTACAGAAAAACCGGACAGGAAAACAGTTACATTTTTTGTTATCTTCCCATGTCAGATCAAGCAGTCGAAAAATGAGTAAAGACTAGGAAGATAAAATAAATAGATACAGAAATAGTCTTACTCCCTACGAAGAATACGCCAACTCATGGGCCCTAAGTTAAAAAGATACGCCCTGGCCAGTTTGGCTCAGCGGTTAGAGCATCGGCCTGCGGTCCGGAGAGACCCGGGTTCGGTTCCCGCTAAGGGCACGTACTTCGGTTGCAGTTTGTCCCCGGCCCTGGTTGGTCGTGCGGGTGGCAGCCACTCGATGTGTCCCTTCACATCGATGTTTCTCTCTCTCTCTCCCTTCCTCTCTCTCCCTCCCACTCTATCTGTACAAAAAATGGAAAAATATCCTCAGGTGAGGATTAAAAAAAAAAAAAAAAAGATACTTTGATAGTGGACTTCAATGTCATTGATTTCCTCTGTGACCCTTCTGAGAAGGGGCTCCACTCCACTAAAGTCTCTATCCAGGGAGGAAAAGGGACTGAGGTCGGGGCTCTGAGGTCCATCCTGGGGTGTCTGGAAGGAATTGATAAGCTTCCAGAGGACAAGTGACCAATGGGATTTGAACAGGAGAGAAGGAAGGAATGCGGAAGGGTCAACAGAGTTGCTGAGCAGGGGCGGCTTCAGGTGGCTCCAAGGGAGGGGGTGGTGCATTTGGGACCTGTGGTGATTAAGGCAGGAGTAAAATATCCTTGCTGGATATTCACAATCTCAGCTACTGGAGGACAGGCCTGAGTAGCAGGGAACAGGGACTCCAAGGGAGTAACTTGTTATAAAGTTACCTGACAGATCACCTCCATCATGGTTCTCTTTGTCTCTTTCTTTAAATCAATTTCATTGAAGTACAAGTTTTATACACTAATATATACCCATTTTGAGTGTCCAGTTCACTAAGAGTTGCCAATGTATACATCTGTGTATACATTGAATGCATTGCAATCAAGATATAGAACGTTTCTAATCATCCCCAAGCAGGGTTCATCTAACAGCCTTGCAGTGTTTCATCTAACAGCCTGTGGCCCCTTCCCTCAGTGGGTTATCTAACTGCAGACTCTCATGCGCCCTACCCCCATGCCCCGAAGAATGGGAAAAAAGGGAAAACCTCTCGCTTTTATCTTTGTGCACAACGCGGTATCGCGTTTAAGAGTACTGATTCTGGAGCCGAGATACCTGGGGTCAACCCGAGCTCTGACCCTGGTCCCGGTGGGGACAGTGAGAGGCTCTTCTGCAGGCCTGTCTAATATGGACGGCTCCTGCAGGTGCTAGCTGTCACTGTCTCATTGTTATTCCAGTTTCGAGATCCTGAGTACGGGGAATGGTTTGGCTACCTAAACCGAGAGGGGACGGTTGCCCTCACCATCAAGGGGGGTCCTTTCAAAGGTGAGTGGGAGACAGGGTGGGGCCTCAGGAGCTCTGGGGATTTGGCTGATCCTGGCCCTCCCAACTCGCCATCTTGCCCCTCTCTGCAGGCTGCTTCCATGTGCCGCGGTGCCTGGCCATGTGCGAGGAGATGCTGGGCTCTCTGCTGAGCCCCGACGCCCCAGTCCCTGCCCACGGCGCCGGGTCCCCGCCCGCCGACCCCGTCCGCGGAAGCGCGGAATAAAGCTGAGCCTGCTCCACTGCCCGTGTGTGTGTGTGTCGGTGGGGTCGAGGGAAGGGCAGCGCCGCGCTGACCGGAGGGCACCTGCTCTCCCCGACAGTGATCCCACCCGCCGACGGTCCTGATTGCCCTGCGCATTGGCCCACCCTGTGCACCACCCCACCCGCCGACGGTCCCGCCCCGGCTCCCGCCCCGGCCCCCGCCCGCCCCGCGCATTGGCCGTGCGGCCGCGAGGGCGGGTGCGGCGGCGAGCACTTCCGGCCGGTGGCTGTGCCCGGCGCGCACCGCCTCTTCCGCCGCCGCCCCCGCGAGCCCGAGCCTTGCCCCAGCCCCAGCCCCGGCCCGGCCGCCCCGGCGTCACTTTGGAGCGCGGCGGCAGCTGACTGCGCGTTTACGACCGGCTGGGAGCCGCGATCCCCGCCGCCGTTATGAACATCCGCAATGCGAGGGTGAGGGGCCAGGGTGGAAGGCTGTCCGCGCCGCGTGGGTACGGGCCGGGTGGCCGCGTGCGCATGCTCCCGAGGGGCCCTGGCGCGCCCAGGGCCGGCAGCCCTGCGCGGGGTTGGTGAAAGCCACCGTACCCATGAGACTGGACCTACCCGAATAGGGGACCGGACCTACCCGGAACCCCGTCTTTGCGGGATGTTGGGGCTCAGTTGGATGGTGTCCGAGAGTTCCCCTGGCACCCATGTCCATTCCAGGAACAGACGATTTTTGCACGGAGGCTGTGGGCCAGGCCTGTGTAAAGACAGACAGTCACAGGCCCGCCCAGCCCCGCGGGGGGTGGGGGGAGTCAGTGAATAGACAGCAAGCCGACTTCTGACAGGACTGAGGCCTGCTTAGTCACCACAGCCCCTGGTCTGACCGCATTCCACTGCCCTCCTCCCTGCAGCCAGAAGACCTGATGAACATGCAGCACTGCAACCTCCTGTGCCTGCCAGAGAACTACCAGATGAAATACTACTTCTACCATGGCCTCTCCTGGCCCCAGGTGGGCAGCTGGAATTTGAGGACTGAGGACACCAGGTGTCAGTTTGGGAGGAGTGGGTGCTTTCAGCTGGAGTGGGGAGCTTAGGACTGGGCCAAAGGAGGGGCAGGATTCCCACCTGTGTCTGTCCTCTCCCTGTGAATGACAGGGGCACAGTGTGGTGTGGGGAAACCAAGTCACTTGGCCTGGAGGTCAGGAGCTGTCACTGAACTCACCACTTGATGGACTTCTGTCTGTCATGCACACAGCTGGCTGTGGGACCAGGTGTCTACTAAGGGCTCCTCACCTCTGAAAGGAAGTTGTTTTCTGACTTATTTCTCCTCCCTGTCACCCAGCTCTCTTACATCGCTGAGGATGAGAATGGGAAGATTGTGGGGTATGTCCTGGCCAAAATGTGAGTTACCAAGAAGGGAGAAAAGCCTGGTGTGGGAGCTGGGGAAGAGGGCAAGGATCTTAGACAGGGGGTGGGGGTACCACCACACATGTCTGATGGATACTACCTGGGTTGTTTTTTATTTAAAAAATTTTTTTTTCTTCATTGATTTTTAGAAAGAGAGGAAAGGAGAAGGAGAGAGAGAGACAGAAACATTGATGAGAGAGAACATCAACTGGCCGCCTCCTGCATGCCTCCCACTGGGGATTGGGCCCAGAACCTGGGCATGTGCCCTGACCAGGAATCGAACCGGCGACCTCTTGGTGCATGGGTTGATGCTCAACCACTGAGCCACACCAGCCGGGCCTGCCTGGGTTGTTTTTAAAAAATAATTTATACACTTTTTTTTAGTTCAGTTCTAGGTTTACAGCAAAATTGAATGGAAAGTACAGAGTGCTCAAATATCCCCCCCCCCCCCAGTTTCTTCTAAATATCTTGTGGTATATTTGTTAAAATGGATGAACCAATACTGCTATATCATTAAAGTCTGTAGTTCCCATTAAGTTTCATTCTGGGTATTGTATCTTCTATGGATTTACACAAATGTATAATGACATGTATCCACTATTAGAGTATCATTTAGAGTAGTTTCACTGCCCTAAAAAAATCCTCTGTGGGTCCTTGCTTACTCATCCCACCATCCTCCTCCTTCTCCTCCTGGCAACCACTGATCTTTTTACTGTGTCCATAGTTTTGCCTTTTCTAGAATGTCATTTAGCTGCCATCAGAAACTGTGTAGCCTTTTCAGATTGCCTTCTTTCACTTAGTAATGTGCATTTAAAGTTCCTCCATGTCGCCCTGGCCGGTTTGGCTCAGCGGTTAGAGCATCAACCCGTGGACCAATGAGTCATGGGTTTGATTCTGGTCAAGGGTACATACCTGGGTTGTGGTTCATCCAGCCTTGGTCGGGTCATGCGGGAGGCAACCAGTCGATGTGTCTCTCTTACGTCAATGTTTCTCTCTCTCTCTCTCCCTCCCATTCTATCTGATGATAAATGGAATAATATCCTCAGGTGAGGATTAAAAAGAAAAAGTTCCTCCATGTCTCTTCATAGCTTGGTAGTTCATTTCTTTTTATCACTGAACAATATTCCACTGTACTTTGTAGACACTACACGTGTCTTTTGGCTGCTATGAGGGGTTTTGAGAGTCCCAGCTCTCCTCCCACCCCAGGTCTGGGGAGACTTTGGGGCCAGCCAGAGGAGTTTGCGCTCCTGCCATGCACATGTGTCGGAGGTGGCACCAGGCTCCTTGCTAGCCTCTTTCTTTTTGCTATAGGGAAGAGGACCCAGATGACGTGCCCCATGGACATATCACCTCACTGGTGCGTAAGACCCATGCAGGCTCTGATGGGGGTGGAAGTAAAGGGTTAGTTGGGGCAGTCCTCGAGGTGTCACCCTTCTTCCTCCAGGCTGTGAAGCGTTCTCATCGGCGCCTTGGCCTGGCTCAGAAGCTAATGGACCAGGCCTCCCGAGCCATGATCGAGAACTTCAATGCCAAATACGTCTCCTTGCATGTCAGGAAGAGGTGGAAGCCAGGGCCGAGGGAAGGGAGGAGTAGGGAGGAGATACTGTCTTGATGTGGGTCCTGGGGTGCCCTGGCTTTTGGAGAAGATCTGGGAAGTGGGATTAGTGGGAAGGGGGCACTAGGAAAAGGGGCAGGACCTGGATGTGCTGTCCCTGCCTGACCAAGTCTGTGCAGCTCAGCAGTGCCTTATTCCCCTGCAGTAACCGGGCCGCGCTGCACCTCTATTCCAACACCCTCAACTTTCAGTAAGTAGATCTAGTTTTTCTAATGGAGTGGGTGGTCCTAGGTCTGGTTCATCCAGGTGGCTGAAATGGGCTGAGCTGCCTTCCAGGCAGGGGGGCAGGGGCAGCTGAGATGGGGAGCAGGTCATAGACTCCACACACATTGCCAGGATGCCTCCTCCATTTCCAGTGGCAACAACACCTACCTGCTGCCATCTGCTCAAGGCATGTTGTGATGCAAGAGGATGTGTGGTGTGTCTTGCTGGGTAGAGGAGTGATTGCTTGATGCTGGTTGAGAGCAGGTGATGGGCAGTGTGGTGAAGAGCACACGGGCTTTTCAGTGAAGGTTCAGGAGTAGAAATGAGGGCTCAGGACATGAGCAGAGCCTAGGAATAGGACTCAAAGTAGCCAGGTACCTAAAAGCATGTAAGTGGGACCAGAAGAAAGGAGAATGTGGTGCTACAGAAGCCTAAGCACATCCAAGAAGGATGTACTGTCAGCATGAGGAGCGGAGGGATCTAGAGCTCTGGGCATCCTGGTGGATAAGGGTGGGTCCACTCAGGGACATGAGAGTCTCTGTGTGCTCCGGACAGAACGAGTCTGGCAGGGAATTGATGCATCCAATACACAATGGCAAAAGCCATTTGAAAGTGAGGCTGGGGTGGGTTGTCCATGGAGGACCCATTGAGACAGCAGTCAGCCTCAGTTTGGTGGGAGATGAGAAAGGAGAAAGGACTGTTATGAAGGGCATTTGAGGAGGGATCTTTGACTCGTGCTGATACCTCTGGTTGTCAACAATTCCAGGGGTGTAGGTATGGCAGGGACTTTCTAGACCATTGAGTCCAGTTCCCCTTCCAGTGGCAGGCACCCAAGTCTGCACAAACACCTCCATTGAAGACTTAGCCCCTGAGCTGCTCAGATCAGAGGCCATGCTGCCTGGCAATGCCTGTCGGAAACAGAGGGTACAGCAGCCCTCCTCCCTGGTTCCAATTGCTATGCATAGGAACCTACTGTGTATTCTCAATAAGTGACAGGGAACAGGGCAGGGAGGGAATAGGATGGCTAAATTTAGAGCTTCAGCTCACAAGAAACTACAGAAAGATCTTGGTAGCCAGGTTAGGGATGCAGGACTATGGCAGGACCTGGGGGACGGGGGAGAGAGATAAAGGTGCTGGATACTGCTTACTGCTGGAGAATGCAGAAGGAAGGCTCTGTTGGAAATGGGGCTTGTCTACAAAAGGGTCCTTCAGGGGAAATGACATTGTGCCCCACTAGCATATGATGCCAGAAGGCTGAGGAGAATTTGACCCCTGATTTGGGTCATCCTCCTTCTCTCCAACCCCTGCCCACAGGATCAGCGAAGTGGAGCCCAAATACTATGCAGATGGGGAAGATGCATATGCGATGAAGCGGGATCTCACCCAGATGGCCGATGAGGTAAGAGTCTAGGGGGACTAGGGCCACAGTCCCTACAGATAAAGAAAAGTAAGGCAAGTAAGGGCAGCCCTGCTGGAGGGGAGATGAAGCTCTCAGGGGCCCTGAGACAGTAGGAGACCTCTGGTGGCTAGAGGCAGGATAGTCCAGGTGCCAGCTATTGTGGCTACATTTCTGGGGGTCACAGTGCTTGTCACCTCAGTTTCCTCAGTTGTCAGATAGGAAGCTGGGCCTTGTCAGGGCTTTGAAGAAGGCCACATTGGTCCAAGATTCCATTTTCAGGAAGAAGTCTATGCCACCCTGAGGTGTGATATGAGAGGCAAAGGAGGAGGGGGCAGGCTCCTGGATGCACTGAGTGAGGGCTCCAGGATAGCAGTGGGGGCTTGGGGACAGCGATGGCCTGCCCCAAGGCTCAGGGGTAAGACAAAACAGGGCTGAGGAGAAAGTCAGGGTCCTGCAGTAGCTCTTGTGAAGAAGGCATGAGCATATTCCCTTTACAGGAGAGAAAACAGGCCCAGGGAGGGCAGAGCCAGGCTTCAACCCAGTGCAACCCAATGTCCTGCTCTAGCCCTGCTGCCTCTCATTTTGCCCCCTGCCCCCAGCAAGTGACAGGCACAGGCTCCCTTGGGCAGCCAGAGAAGGCCTACATGGTCTGGAGACTTAGGCCCTGTCTTCTTCCTCCCGGTTCTCCCTGGGCTCCTGGTGGCAGCTGAGACGGCACCTGGAGTTGAAGGAGAAGGGCAGGCACACAGTGCTGGGCTCCATCGAGAACAAGGTGGAGAGCAAGGGCAACTCACTTCCAAGCTCAGGAGAGCCCTGTCGTGAGGAGAAGGGCCTGGCTGCCGAGGACAGCGGTGGTGACAGCAAGGACCTCAGCGAGGTCAGCGAGACCACAGAGAGCACTGACGTCAAGGACAGCTCAGAGGCCTCCGACTCAGCCTCCTAGAGCCTGCAAGTGCGCCTCTCCCTGCCCTGGCCTGCCCATCCCATCCTCACCCGAGGTTTCACAATAAACTTCACCCAGTGGCCTTGGGGGGTTTGTGTGTGCGAGTGTGCACATTTAGGGGGGTGTGTACCTCTCTCAGTCCCCTCTGTGTCCCTGTGGAGGTGGACCTCACGGCCTTTTGGCACAGCGTGTCCTGGAAAGTCCAAGTAGAAGGGAAGAGCTTTGTCTGGGCTTCTGAAGGTGCAGCTTCCAAGTCTGATTGACTTTCAGCGTCTTTGGGCCCTAGGGAGGGAGACCCTGGAGTACTGGGAGCCACTTCCACCTTGGGGACAGATGCTCTGCCTTCTGAACCCTGTTCTTCACTGCCTTGCTGGGCTCTAGATGCCTAAGTCCAACTGTTCATTGGGCTTATTCACTGATGTCCTATCTGGATAATGGCCCAACCAGCTACCCAGTTGCTGAAGTCCTAGTAATTGTTTTTTATTCCTTTCTCCCCGACCATCCAAAAAGTCAGTGAGTTCTGTGTGTTTGACCACCATAATACTTCTTGAATATACCTTCTAACCTAAGTCTCAATTTGAAAATAATTAGTAGACTTTATTTTTAGTAGTTTTAGGTTTACAGAACTGAGCAGATGAGTTCCCATGCACCTCCTTGATCCCCTCAGTTTCCCCTGTTAACATTTTGCATTGTATTGCATGTTACCATTGATGAGCCAATATTGATACATTATTAACTATAGTCCAGGGTTTACATTTCCCTCTTTGTGTTGTACATTCTATGGATTTTGACAAATGCATAATATCATTTCACGCAGATTATAAGCCCTGTTTTTCATGTCTTCACTATAACCCCCAAATTTGTTCCTGTGCCCTTGCTACAGCACCATCACTTGCTGCTGCTAGTCCTCAAGCAGCCTGTCAGGGCTGCCCACCTCCCAGGGAAACTCAGCACTACTGAGCTGTCACTACCTTATGTCTCTGCCACTGCAGATGGCACACTACTCCCCCACCAGGCTGAAGGCTTCGCTTCTGGGGCCTGGAGCTCGGTTCTCTTTGGCTACGCCTGGCACGTGATCAATAGGCAGCAAGGGAAGCTGAAACTCGGGGGCGGGGGGGAGGGGCTGAAAGTTACTTCTGCGCACGCCCGCTCGTAGGCTGACACGGGCGGTTCTGGTTCTGATTGGCTCAAGTTGCGAGCTCCACTGTAGGGGTTGGGGACCGATGCTCAGCCCGCCCTGCGCGCCTGGCGTCAGTCCCTTCCCCTTTCGCAAGCCGCGGCGGGCTTCGTTCCCAGGCTCTGATTGGTCCGGCAGCGGGCGGCGAGCGTCCTTGCGCGTTGTCTAGGCCGCGCCCCAACGCTGGTGGGAGGGAGCCGGTGGAAGCTTGCGCGGCTCCTGCTTTCCGCCCTCCGCCCCGCCCACAGGGACCCAACCCGCCCTTTGCCCTTGGTGCCCTGCTTCCCCCGCGGGGGGGGGGGGGTTGACGCTCGGCCGCCCCCAGGCGGTTGGGTTTCCTGGGCGGAGGTGGGAACTGCGGGGGGAAGGAGGGGAAGCCACAGGCCCCACTGGCCTTTGGGGCCCAGAACTTCCCCCGCCTCTGCAGCACCGCCCTCTGGGAGGGGCCGCTTCCATTCCAATGAACCAAGCTGTGGCCTGAAGGCTGAGGAAAAGCAGGCTTCCTTAGCCCCTCGCAGTGTGGCTGGGGTAGGCAACGGGGGACCTTCCAACCCCCCCCCCATGAACGTATACACTGAGGTGTACAACATTGTACCTCATTGTTATACGTATGGAAAGCGGACTTGTAAGAAAATAGGACAGGCCTTACTGCCCAATTCATGCTGTCATTTATTCTTGCTCTGATGTGGATTGCTTGTAACAGCCTCCCGGTTGATCTCATCTGCCCTCCGTCAATCACGCAGCAGACCTGACCAAGTCAGCATTGTGGTCACTGCTTCAGGACCAAGTGTACACTCACTCATTAACAGCTTTAGCAAGGTCCCACAGATCTGGTCTACGTCTAAAGCGAGATAATGGGATTTTGGCTTTTTTTGTGAACAATGGAGTTGAGGACAGAGCAAGTGTTAAGGCCTTAAATGCCAAACAGGTGTCCTAAAAACCAGGGGTAATTACTTGAGGTTTTAAGGCAGTGCCTGTATGGGGCATCACATCAGTATTTCTGGAATCATAAAAGGGCTGAGGAGAACATTTGAAGGGGTGAGGTGAGATCATCAGCAGTTTCTGGTGGGTTTGAGCCCTGTGCCAGGCTCTGCTGGATGGGCAAGGGGCTTTTGAGGGTCATTTAGGGCCCAGATGGAGAAAAAGGGGCAAGGTATGTTAGGGTTAGCTGATGAGGGGCATGGGTTCCTGACACAGGAGCAGTTTCAGGGGTGGGTGCACCCTTGCTTGCTGCTGCAAGGGGCAGGAGACTTGCTCACCTGCTTTGCTGAAGGATTTGAACAGTTGGTACAGCTCAGGCCAGCTACTGGAAGCCCAGGTCCTGGGCCTGCTGGGGTCTGGCCAGCTCCTAGGCCTTCCAGGCCCAGACCACATGGACACAGAGCATCCTAGAGAAGGCCTTTGGTACTGGGGTGCGGGCAGCAAGCTGAGGAGGTATGTTTTCCTTTTCTGGGTAAGAGAATTGCTTATAGTTGAAAGGCAGGAAGTACCTGCACAGCCTGCCCTCCCTCCTGAAGAGCTGCAGGTCTAGGTCACATGTGCTCACATGTGTACAGAGCCTGACTTTGACATCCCTGTGCACAAAGGCCTGGACCCCTTGTACTAGTGCCTACAGACCAGCCTCCCTGGGCACAAGCCTAACTGCCTCACTCCTCTCCCACCATCTAGACCCCAGGGATTTCCCTCCCACCCAACTGAAAACAGTTGTATAGTCTGGCTTGTCACCTGCCACCTGCATCCTGCCTTCCCAATTTACTGGAGAAAAGTTGTTGCCCTGTGGCTTTGAGTTGGTAAAGAGAGGTGGAGGGAAACTACAGTACCCCTGGATAAGGGAGGCCCCCAGACTTGCCCCCAGGCTTACTAAGGCCTTGCTCTGAGGGGCTGGAGGAAGGCTCTGCCCCCACCCCCAGGCCTAGGACAGGACAGGTGCAAACTGCAGGGGAAAGGAGACAGAAGAGTCTCTTCCGGCAGCAGGAAGTGGTAACCACCTATGGGGAAACGAGGCTTGTTCCTCCCTATGGGGTGGAACAGAAGGGGAACCTTAGCTGAACACTGCTCTCCCCCTGAGAAAGGGGCTGGAGGGAACAACTGCTGAGGTTCTGTTCTCTAGTGCTGACCTTCCTTTCCAGCCCACCCTGGGAACTTCCCACCTGGTTCTTCAGGCTCCTTGCACTTATCTCTCAGGGCTGTGACTTGGGAAGGGTGGGCCCCATCTGATGTCCTGGGAGTCTGGGGGAAGCTGGTGACTCAAGGTAGTCCAGGTCCTGGAGCAGCTATGGTGTCCCTGCCCACTGGCACTGAGGGCCAATGGCCATGCTGTGAAGAGTGCTGTCTGGTTGTGGTGGCTGGACAGCTTTCTGGAGGTGGGGGGACGGCAGCCAGAGGGTGCCAGATTGCTGGACACCTTGGGGCTCTCACATTGGCCCTGGCTGCTTGGCAAGAGAGCTTTGGGCACAAGGCAGCCCTGGTGTGGCCCAGCACCCAGCTGGAGGGGAGGCAAGGCCCCAGTTCAGTGGGACCTCACAGGAGTCTCTGGAAGGCAGTGCCTGGCCTGAGTTGCCCCGCCCCCAGGGCTGCACTGGGGGTGGAGTGGGGCGGGGCCGATGCAGGGTGCTGGCTACAGAACCCTAGGACCCAGCGCCCTGGCCCGCGTGGGAGCAGCGGGCTCCAGGGCGCCCCTGCTCGGCTGCCATGGCCATGCACGGAAAGCTGCGCCGGGAGCGGGGACTGCAGGCCGAGTATGAGACGCAAGTAAAAGGTGAGAGGGCACTGGGCTCTTCTGGTCCAGTTCCCTGTGGAGACCCCAAGGCCATGGGGGAGCCCCAAAAGTCCTGCTGCTGTCCCAGGGTCTGCTATCCTCCCCCAGCAATCTGAGGGGATGTTGAAGGAGGGAGCCTGAGCCCCCTGCCCGCTTCTCTGCACCCTTTTTGCCTCAATCACCTCACCGTTCTACCTTCCTTTCCCCCTTTCCCTCCTCCATGCCTCCATCATTCCCTTCCTTTAGTCTCACTGCCCTCCTTAGTTCTCCCTGCACCTCACCCAAGGAGCCCTAGAAGACAATGGGGCCTCCAGGTGCACCAAGATGACCCCCCAGAAAGTGGCATTCTAGCCAGAATAAACTCAAACACTTTGACTTTGCTGAGGGAGGCTGGATAAGGGAGTCCAGGTAACTAGATGGATGTATTAGTGATGGCTTTGTCCTTAAACCACTTCAGTCCCTGTAGCCCAGTCCCTTTGCCCTCCCTTGGGCACCAAAGTGGCTTAGAGCTGAGGGCCACTGTCTCTGGGTCAAGCTAGTGCAATGAATCTTGGCCGAGAGATTCAACAGGGCCACCCTGGCGCCTTCTGAAGAGTAGACCTCTTTGGACACTGATAAACATACTGTGCAAATTGCATGCAAATCAGCTTTGCAAATTCTTAGTTGACAACTTGTGCGGTTTTATTTAGGGCGTGGAAACTCTTGCAAAGGAAAGAAGGTAGCATCCAAGCACCAGCAGTTTGGGGCCATAAAGTTTCCCAGTGTCTTTAGATGCGTGACCCCCCATATGTCATTCTCAATCACTCTGTTTACCAATGGAAGAAACTGAAGCTCAGAGAAGCAGTGACTTGCTCGGGGTCACACAGCACTATAGCTCTTAAGAGGTAGAATGAAATGACCCTCGAAGTTCCTTCCAACCCAGAGATGCAGGTTGCAATGTAATTATCAATGCAGGCAATTTATACCAAAGTGTGACTGAGTCCTCCCCATCTGTGAGAGGCGGGCTGCCACCCAGAGCCAGCTTAAGGCAATGGTGAGGGTGAGCCAGCTCTCCAAGCCTCACCTTCATCATTTCTCAAATGAAGATAATGATTTCCATCCTGCTTCCCCAAAATATCCTGAGGTGGAAGGACTTTGGAAATTCTTCAGTCAGCAAATATGGGTCAATTAATTCACACTGAGAAATTGGGAATTTGAGTAAGGCTATCTTTAAGATGTTCCTTACCTGCTCTGGCCCTCCAATGATTTTAGCTTCTGTTCCCTGTCCCCCACCCCCACCACCGCCAAAAGAAACTTCCTACTATGCTAGAAAACAGGATCACTGTCTTGACACTCTAAATTCTGAAAGGTCAGCATAGTCGTGGTTGGGAGGCCATCTTCTCTTCTGCTTTGCTTGTCAGCAGAAGTGAGACCTAGGCCTTGCTCACAGGAAGTGCTGGTGGGGCCCAAGCATAGTAGATTCCATCCTTCCTTATGGCAGATGTTTTGTATGCATCTATTCCGTCTTTTTTGCTGAGCAAAAGAGAACCAGTTGCTGCCCTCCTATAGCTCAGAGACATCTAGTAAACAAGGCATCACACAATTTTAATTATGATGCTAACCACTATAAAGGGAAAGCCCGGATGTCAAGAAAGGGAGTGGGAAGAGGGCCAGTCCTAGTTTGGGGAGAGGTCAGGGAAGGGTTCTCTGATGAGTGCATCTAAGCTGAGGTCTGAGAAGTGGACAGAGACACAGCCTAGAGGCTATGGCTAGGCTCCAGCTCTTTGTGCTTAGACAGCACTAATTCACAAGTCTACTACTTGACACCAGCCAGTGTGCGTGTCTGGATCCTGACCAAAGCATGGCTGCCCTGAAGAATAAATGAAACAGTTTGGCTGGCTGTTCAGTTGTCTCCAGAGAGCTGTTGCTCCAGGAAGGTGGGACAGATGCCAGAGGAAGGTGAGGTGAGCTGGGAGGTCTCAGACATTTCTTGTCATGAAATGACATTTACTTTTATTCAAAAAATGTTACCCTGATTCAATGAAGACTCTCCTGATTGCAAGTGGTATAGAACTCATTCTACCTGGCCTGCGGAGCTGAGAGTTAGCCACTGGAGCCCAGCCTGAGATGATAGGACACTGTCTTGCTTGCCTCTGCCCTGGTCTGCATTGGTTTCATGGTCAGGAAGCTCCCCACTCCCACCCCTGCCTGCCTTCCCCAGGCTTCCATTTACACAGCTTGACCCCCTTGGTGGAAAAAGAGCACCTTTTCTGTAATTTTAGTGAAAATGTCAGGACTGTGGCTCCTGTGCCCATCAATGAGCCCAGTGGTGGATGAGGGTGGAGGGGCCGAGGGACTGGCTATGCGTGCAGCCACATCTGGGGCACCTGGAGTCAGGCAGAGGGGACCCAGGGGCTGAGAATAGGAAGGGGTGTTCTCCAAAGGGAGATCAGAGTCAGAGATGAGGATGCCTGGCAAGCAGAACCCACTGAAGCTACTCCACACCCCACAACCCCTGGGAAGTCACTGGTGGCACAGAAATCCAAATGGTACTGGTACCATCCTGTTCACAGTGAAGTCCTCTCAAACGGCCACCCAAGGTCCTGCCACTTCACCCATCCTCCCAGGCTGGCTCCCTAGTCTGAGCCCTTATTGTCTTTTGCCTGGACTGGTGCAGTAGCTGCCAACTGGGTTGGGTGCTTTCCTCTGTCACCTGACCTCCTACTGGGCTCCCCATGGCAGCCCAAGGGTGCTGTGGCTTCCCTCTCCCTTACCCTCAGCGGGAGTCCCCTGAACCAGGGTCCCTGTGCATTCTGCCCCCACTGGCCTCTGACTCTCTCACTTTCCCTGGCACAGCTGACTCCACCCATACTGGCTTCAGCCACCTTCACTGTTCCCTCTGCTTGAACACTCTTCCCCAGATGTCCCCATGGCCCTTCCATCACTTCCTTCAGTTCTCTGCTCCAGTGTCACTTGTTCCTGACCACCCTCCTCTAATAGAACCCTTCCCTGTCCCCCTGCTCTGATCTGTTCACTGGCTATCTGTCTCCCCCATTCCCATCTCAACTCCATGAGGGCAGTCACTTCGTCAACCCTCTTTGTCACTGTATCTCTATGCCTAGAACGTTTCTGGCACAGACTAGGTACATAATCAACATTCTGCTGAATGAAGAATGTCCTAGGCACATGGGCAGAGATTAGTAAGTGGGTGACCTGCTTGTCAGAAGACAAGACAGTGACTTATTTCCCTGGGCATCCCAGTGCCCACCTGGGCGCACAGTGGGTGGCAAAGTGTTTGCAGCGATTGCCTAAGCTTGTCATTCAGGCAGTTCTTTGCTTTAGGTCTGTGTGGAGAAAGCAGCATTGCCCAATCAAGCCAGTGATAAAGTGTCAAAAGCCAGCAGTGTGGGGGCATTGGGTGTGGCTCTATCTGCTGGGAGGTGGGGCTAGGGGGGCCCTGGGGTAGGTGATCAGGAGTGGGAACTGGGGACAGAGAACAGGCCAGCTTCCTCACTCCCTTCATTTGTCAGCCCAGACCAGCTCTCCCTGGCCACCCGCCTTCACCTGGGGGCTGCCCTTTGCCACAAGTTCATTGCAGGTTTGGCAGAGCACCACAGCCGCCATGGCCCTGAGTGTCTGTGTTTGTAGGGAGGCTGCTCTGCCTGGGGTCCTGGGCACCTAAGGGACAGGAAGTGGCAGGGGAAGCAATTCGGGGGCTTTCCAGGAACCCGGGAGTTATGGGAAGCCTAAGTGAAAGGTGCCTGGCAGGGGACAGGGCAAGGTGGGGCTGGGGCAGCTCTGTGTTCCCACCATCGCAATTGGCTCCAACCCTCCCAGATCGGCCACAGTCCTTCTCACCCCTGGGCTTTTGCATGGCTCTCCCCTCTCCCTGAAACAGCCTTCCCGTTCCTCTTCAACCATTTGGGCCTGGCTGATTCCCTTTAGCCTCAGCCCAGAGGTCCCTTTCTTCAGGACTGTCCTGAGCCCAGCTGGATATCTGAACCCGGAACTCCTCCCTGGGGGCCAGCCTCCTTCTTCCTCCTCAGCCCAGACCTCACCCTCAGGGCAGACTGGACGACCTGCTGCCCAGGCCTGATCCAGGCCTGATCCACGGTTTCCCCACAGAGATGCGCTCGCAGCTGAGTGAGCAGTTGCGCTGCCTGGAGCTACAGGGTGAGCTGCGGCGGGAGCTGCTGCAGGAGCTGGCGGAGTTCATGCGGCGCCGTGCAGAGGTGGAGCTGGAGTACTCCCGTGGCCTGGAGAAGCTGGCTGAACGCTTCTCCAGCCGTGGAGGCCGCCTGGGGGGCAGTAGCCGGGAGTACCAAAGCTTCCGGTAGGTCCTTGTTGGCAGGATGGCTGTGGCAGGGCCCAAACCCTGCTCCCAGTCTGAGTGCCCCTCTGCCCTCAGGAAGGAGCCGTCCCTCCTGTCGTCCTTGCACTGCTGGGCTGTGTTGCTGCAGCAGACGCGGCAGCAGAGCCGGGATAGCGCGGCCCTCAGTGAGGTGCTGGCCGGGCCACTTGTCCAGCGCCTGAGTCACATTGCGGAGGATGTGGGCCGCATAGTCAAGAAGGTAAGGCCCTGGCCCTGGGGGTGAGAGGTGTGGATGACCTCAGGATCTATTGAGGACAGCCTATGGGTACTCAATCCAGAGGCTTCAGCGCTGGGAGGGTGAAGGAAGCCAGATAGGTGTCAGGCAGGGGTGAGCTAGGTGGAGCCTTCAGTGCCAAACTGAGGTATAGTGACCACCCCAGGACAGCAGTGGGTGCTGCACTGGGGCAGTGATTTGGTCACACTTCTCCTCCCCAGAGTAAGGATTTGGAGCAACAGCTGCAGGAGGAGCTCCTGGAGGTGGTGTCAGAGCTTCAGACGGTAAGGGCGCCAATCACAGGGAGGCTATCACATTATATCTCGCCAAGCCAGGCCCACAGAGGAGAATCCGGTGCCCAGGAGAGACCTGGGTTTTAAGGACCGCAAACATGGCCCTTTCTCCCTGCTCTGGGCACTGGGTGGGTGGCCTGGTGCTCATGTGGGATTGCCTAACTCTCAGGTCTGAGTCTCAGCTGGGCCAGGAAGAAGAGGGGGAGGGCTGTCTGTGGCCTTGGCCTTCAGCAGGGCTGCCTGGGCTTGGGCCTCCTTTTAGGCCAAGAAGACGTACCAGGTGTACCACACAGAGAGCATGAATGCTGAGGCCAAGCTCCGGGAAGCTGAGCGTCAGGAGGAGAAGCGGGCTGGCCGGAGTGCTGCTGCTGCCCCAGCCACCGCCACCACAGAAGCAGGGCCCCTCCGCAAGACTTCCCTCAAGAAGGGATCACGGCTGGTGGAAAAGGTGGGCCTGGGTAGCATCGGTCTGTCTGTGAAAGCTATGGCTCCTGGCCTTTGTCCCTTCGAGTCCCTGGCCCTCACTGGGGCCTGCTGGGAGGCAGTGCATGGAGAGGGAAGGCAGGGCTGGAGAGGGGAGAGCCACAGACCTCTGGCAAGGCTGTAAGGGGCAGACCTAGGCCTGGGCCTGGGTCTGGTCAGCCCTGCTGGCTCTGGAGGGCTCCCCACATTGGGGTGGTACACAGAGAGGTCAGGAGGATAGCTGTCTCCCCCCAGCTCAGGGGTGAAGAGAGCCCTGGTGCTTCCAAGCCTCGGGACCTTTCCATCTACCCTTCTTGTCTCATACAGTACTGTGAGCCTTCAGGGGGCAAGAAGACACGTAGAATGGGTGATTGGGTAACGTGCAGGGATAAAGAACATTTGAAGAGAGGATGAAGTTGAGGGTGGCAGAAATACCAGAATGTGGAGGTGCCAAGCAAGGAGGAGCTGAAGCAGAGCTGGGGTAGCCAGCCCAAGACAGGAGGGTTTGTGCACAGCAGGGTGAGGTGGGTGAACACGCTGGGACTCTGGCCATGCTGTTTGAGGGGCCTGTGGGACTTCAGGTGTAGCTGTCCACATGGAGAGGGCAGGGAAAAAGAGTGTGGGGGCTGGCCAAGTAGATAATCCTGGTGTACTTGTGTGGTCTTGAGCAGCGTCAGGCCAAGTTCTTGGAGCACAAACTCAAGTGCACAAAGGCGCGCAACGAGTACCTGCTCAGCCTGGCCAGTGTCAACGCTGCTGTCAGCAACTACTACTTGCATGATGTCTTGGACCTCATGGATGTGAGTGCTAGGTGGACAGGTGGGGGGGCCAGTGCCCAGTGCACTGGGGCCCGCCCAAGCCGTGTCCTTGCTTTCTCCTCAGTGCTGTGACACAGGGTTCCACTTGGCCCTGGGGCAGGTGCTCCGGAGCTACACGGCTGCCGAGAGCCGCACCCAAGCCTCCCAAATGCAGGGCCTGGGCAGCCTGGAAGAGGCGGTGGAGGCTCTAGATCCTCCAGGGGACAAGGCCAAGGTGCTGGAGGTGCATGCAGTCGCCTTCTGTCCCCCGCTGCGTTTTGACTACCAGCCCCATGAGGGGGATGAGGTGAGGGTCACTGCCCCTGCCCCTTAATGCCCCCAGCATCAGCATCAAGGGCTTTGTGTTCTCTGCCCTTCAGGTAAGTCAGTGAATTTCACTTTGCTAAGGAGTTGAGACTCCTGAATGTAGCTTATTTCTCAGACTTTCATTCAATGGCCTTGAGACACGTGAGGTCCCCCCACTCGCATTTGAAGCAAACAAACTTCTGTGGCTCATTGCAGTTCATCTAGCGAATGAACACCCCCCACAACAGCAAACACAGCAAAAATATCACCAGTGTTGATACTGAGTGGTAGGCCATATATAGCTGGCCATATATTCTTCTTCCAGTTGTTCTGTATGTTTCTGACATTTCATAACACAAATCTGGAGGGAAATGAACCATACAAGCAGTAAAATATAATTAGGCATCTTTTTACTTGTCTCTGTGCTGTTTTTTCCTTTACCAGTTTATCCTAAAGGGCATTGCACATGGACTGGGATTACCTGGAGCTTCTAGTTATTTTATCTGTATTTTGACCAAAATAATAGTTGAAAAAGTCAAATAGTTGAAAAGCCTCACTCAAGGCTTTCAATGTCACAGAGCCTTTCTCGAACTCACCCTTTCTGTTCCCGATTCCCACTCACCAGAAATAGCCACTTCCCAGTCTTCAGCTGCTGCTTCTGGAATTTCCCTCTGTGTGTTCAAATCATGCAGCAGGCTGCTAGTTGCTTTTCAACTTTCCATAGGCTCTACTGACTTCCTTCCATGGATGATCTGGGCTGAGCCCCACCATCACCTCCCTGCTATAGTCCTCTCAGTCCTCTCTGCCACACCGAGCAATCTGTACTCCCTCTTCGTTTCAGAGCCCTGTCCTGGAGCATGTGTGAAAATGTCGGTATTCTGTCCTTGAAATGGATCAGTAGTTTAGCTAGAGAGAGAGGGAGCTCAAGGTAGAAAATCATTTTCTTTTCAGTATTGTAGGTGAAAAGTCCAAGGCCGTTCCTTTTTTTTTTTTTTTTTTAATCCTCACCCGAGGACATTTTTCCATATTTTATTCAGATAGAGTAGGAGGGAGAGAGAGAGAGAAACATTGACGTGAAAGAGACACAGCGAGTGGTTGCCACCCATATGACCCAACCAGGGCCGGGGACAAACTGCAACCGAGGTACGTGCCCTTAGCAGGAACCGAACCCGGGTCTCTCTGGACCGAAGGCTGACGCTCTAACCGCTGAGCCAAACCGGCCAGGGCAAGGCCTTTCCTATTTCTGAACCTTTGTAAGTGACTTGTACTTTTTCTCCATGAAGCTTTCACGGTTGTCTCTTTCCCCTCTGTAGTAAAATTTTATGATGCTGTGCTTTGGCGATTCTTTTTCCTTCATGATGCTGGGCAAACAGTGGGTCCTGTCAGTCTGAAAAGTTGTCCTTAGGTTTGGGGCTTATGTTATTTCTTTGATAATTTCTTCTCCTTAATTTTCTTTTCTTTCAAGAATTCTTGTAATTGTGGATGGACCTAGAGGGTATTATACTAAATGAAATAGTCATACAGAGAAAGACAAATACCATATGATTTCACTTATATGCAGAATCTAAACAATAAATTAAATGAACAAACAAAACAGAAACAGACTCATAGATGCAGAGAACAAACTGATGGTTGCCAAATGGGAAGAGGTTGGGGGGGCTGGGTGAAAAAGGTGAAGGGATTAAGAAGTACATATTGGTTGTACATCACGTGAATGTAGATACAGCATAGAGAATTTAGTCAATAATATTGTAATAACTATGTATGGTGCCAGGTGAGTACTTGAATTATCAGGGGGATCACTTCATAAATTATCTAATTGTCTAACCACTATGCTGTATACCTGAAACTAACATAAAATAATATTGAATGTCAACTGTAATTGAAAAATAAAATAAAAAAGATTTCATGTAATTAAATGTTGGACCTCATGGGTTAATTCTCTAATTTTCTTATCTTTTCTCTTTCCTATTTCCCCATCTCTATGCCTTTCAATTCTGCTTTCTTAGAGATTTCAACTACCTCATCCAACCCCTTGTTGATTTTTTTTTTTTTTAATCCTCACCCGAGGACACCTTTGCATTTATCCCCAGACAGAGCGGGAGGGAGAGAGGGAGGAAGAGAGTGAGAGAGAAACATCCACATGAAAGAGACACATCAACTGGTTGCCACCCACACGACCTCAACTGGGGCCGGGGACAAACTGCAACTGAGGTACATGTCCTTAGCAGGAACCGAACCGGGACTCTCTAGTTCTCGGGCCGATGCTCTAACTGCTGAGCCAAACTGGCCAGGGTCCCTTGTTGAATTTTTCTAAAAATTTACTTTCAGCTCTGGCCAATTTGGCTCAGCGGTTAGAGCATCGGCCTGTGGACCAAAGAGTCACTGCTTCGATTCTAGTCAAGGGCACGTACCTCGGTTGCGGTTCTGTCCCTGGCCCTGGTTGGGATCATGTGGGTGGCAACCAGTCGATGTGTTCTCTCACATCGATGTTTCTATCTCTCTCTCCCTCCTACTCTATCTGAAAATAAATGGAAAAATATCCTCGGTTGAGGATTAAAAAAAAATTATGTTCATACTTTTGTTTCTAGGTTCTGTTTTGTTTTCCCAATTTCTGTTTAAAACAACCCTTTGTTCTTGTTTCATGAACACAATATCTTCTCAAATCTTTCTGAAATGTTTATTTTTGTTTTCTCAACATTTTTCTCTGTTCCTTGCATTTTCTCTGTTTTCTTGCAGCATTTTTAAAAACATCGCTTTGATCTATGTCTTCCATTTTAGAGCTTCCCTGAAATGGCTGACTTGGCCATCAATTCATAGTTAAGAGGAGGCACGGAGGGTGGCATGAAATATGTGATGTGCGTGGGGAGAGCTGGTCAACAGTGCCCTTCTCCACAGGGTAGCTGGGCAGGGAGTCAGATCATTGTTGTAAGGGAGACCCACACCTTGGGGACCCAGGGGGGGTGTGTCTAAGGAAGAGGGTGCTAGGAAAAACTCTAGTACTTGGGCTAGAATTGGGGGGTGTATGGGGGAGGGGCTTGACTCTGGCTTGGATGCTGACAGGAAGTAACTCTGTCTGTGTGTCTTAATAAATCTTATCTAAGAAGGCAGGGTGAGAGATGAAGAGAGACTAAAACTGTCATCGGTGAGGAAGCAGCAGTCACTCATGAGCTGAGACAGAGGGAGGTTTGCTTATTTTTGTGGCTTGGACAACATTTTTGTTTTTGTCTGTGCTCAGACATGATTACAAGATGGTCTTCTTTTTGTCTTTACCCGTCATGGTCACAGAAGGGCCTTGTCTGATGTTGATGCTCTCTGACATTCCTTATGTTCAATGGGACAGCACCAGGCCCCAGCTGTGAGTGCCCGGCCAGCTCTAGATGGTGGCAGCTGCTTTGCTCTTTCTCATCAGTAGGGAGTTTTGTCTCCTTCAGCTGTGACTATTGTCCCTGAGTCCAAAATTCCTCTGTTTTATCCTTTCCAGAAAGTAAATCTCTAGCTTTCTTTTTCTTTTTTTATATTTTTTTCATTATTGATTTTAGAGAGAGAGTAAGGGAGAGAGACAGAGAGAGAGAGAGAAACACCGATGAAAGAGAACATTGATTGGCCGCCTCCTGCATGCCCCCCACTGGGGATCAGGCCCACAGCCTGGGTGTGTGCCCTGACCGGGAATCAATCCGGCGACCTGAGCCACACCAGCCAGGCTAAATCTCTAGCTTTCTGCTAATTGTGTGGGTTCTGACGGGGTGGGTATTCTAATATTGGTGCTCCCTATGGCCTAGATATACATTTCTTTTATCATTGTGGTAAAATACATACAAGATTTACCATTTTTAAGTGTACAGTTCAGTGACATTAACCACATGAACCATGACCACCATCCATCTCCAGGACTTTTTCTTCCCAAACTGAAACTCTATTCCTATCAGACACGTAACCCTGCATTCCCCCTCCACCAGCCCCTGGCACCAACCCTCCTACCTTCTGTCTCTATGAATCTGACTCCTCTAGGACCTCATACAAGTGGAATCATACACTATTTGTCTTTTTGTGACTGGTTTATTTCACTTAGCATAATGTCTTCGAGGTTCATCTATGCTGAAACATATGTCAGAATATTCTTCCTTTTTAAGGCTGAATAATATTCCATTGCATGGATAGACTATATTTTGTTCATCTATTCCTCTATCAATGGATACTTGGGTTGCTTCCACCTTTGAATACTGTGAATACTGCTGCTAGGAACACGAGTATACAATTATCTCTTCGAGACCCTGCTTGCAATTCTGTTGGGTTGATACCCAGAAGTGGAATTGCCAGATCATCTGACAAATCTCTGTGTAACTTTTTGAGGAACTGTGGTACTGTTTCCTAGATAGCCAGTCCTGGTTCCTGCGCCCCCATCTTCTGAGCTTTCCTGGGTTCAACGGTCTGCTGTGACTGGCTTCTGTCTGGGCTTTGTTGAGTCAGATACGCCGGTCTCCATCTTCCACAAGTCTCAACAGACTTTTGTGTGCCGTTGTCCCCTCCGCTCTGTCTGGTGTCCCTGTGACTTATGCCTTCATGCATCGCTTTATGGTGGGGCTTGGGGGAGCAGAGAGCTGGGCATGTTTAGCCTGCCAGGGATAAATGAAGTCCTCACTCTCAATTTTAACTTGATGTCAGGGTTTTCTGGATGTTTACATTTTCAAAAGAGAGAGATTCTTCATCTCCTAAGGCTTTCTCCTTCCACCCTCCACCCTGCCCATGGGAGTCTATTTCTGCCCTCTGCTCTCCCCAGGAGAGGTCTGGCTGGGCCTTTCCTCTTCTGTCTCAGACCCCAGCCCTCCTGACCATAAAAAACCCTCCCTTATTGAGATATAATTGATGTGCCATGTAATTCACCCATTTAAAGTGTACAATTCAATGGCTTCTAGAATATTCAAAGTTGTGCAACCATCACCACTATCTAATTCCCAAACATGCTCACCCGAAAAAGAAACCCTGGACCCATTAAGCAGTCACTCCCCATCCCCTCCCCCGGGTCCCTAGCACCCACTAATCTTTCTATCTCTATGGATTTGCTTCTTCTGGACATTTTATGTAAATAGACTCATATAATATATGGCCTATGTGTCTGACCTCTTTCACTCAGCAGAATGTCTTCAGGATTCACCCACACTGTAGCGTGGATCAGCCAGGACTTCATTTTTGTGGCTGAATAACATTCTGTTGTGCAGATGCAATGCACTTGCTGATCTATTCATCAGCTCTTGGACACTTGGGCTGCTGCCACTTTTGGGTGGTTATGAGTGCGCTGCCATGAGTGTCTATGGGCAAGTCTGGGTGTGCATGGTTGTGTTCCTTTATTATTATTTTTTCATTTTATTTATTTATTTATTTTTTATTAATTAATTTTTGTTACAGATGTTTCTCCTTTTTCCCCCACTGATTCCCCCCTCCTCCTCCCTCCCCGCCGTGTCCCCAGCCCTGTTGTCCATATCCACTGTTTATGCACACATGCATATAAGTTCTGTGGTTTATCTCTCCCCCACCCCACCTCTTCTGGGGATTGTCAGTCTGTACCCCACTTCCACGTCTCTGGGACTACCCTATTCCTCAGACTGTTATGTTCATTATATTCCACAAATAAGTGAGATCATATGATACTTGTCTTTCTCTGTTTGGCTTGTTTCACTTAGGATGATACTTTCCAGGTCCCTCCATGTAGTCTCAAAGGATAAGAGATCTTTCTTTCTTACAGCTGTGCCTTTATTATTATTAAAAATATTTTTTTCTTTATTGATTTTAGAGAGAGGAAGGGAGAGGCAGAGAGAGAGAGAGAGAAACATTGATTGGCTGCCTCCTGCATGCCCCTCATTGGGGATCGGGCCCACAACCTGGGCATGTGTCCTGACCAAGAATCAAACCAGCGACCTCTTGGTGCCTGGGCTGATGCTCAACCACTGAACCACACTGGCCGGGCATGTTCCTTTCTTTAGCATCAAGGCCTGGTGGTCCTGTATATCAGGCAGTGGAAATGTGCTCAATTCCCTCACGCCCTGGAGACATCAGTGCCTGCTGCCCAACCCCACTCTCATGTCTGAGCTCTCTGTCTTCAGGCTTGGCCCTCAGTTCCTTGATGCTGCCCTTTGCAGGTGGCTGAGATCCGGGTTGAGGTGGAGCTGCGGGACGAGATTCTGCCCAGAGCCCAGAATATCCAGAGTCGCCTGGACCGACAGACCATAGAGACAGAGGAGGTATGAGTGGCCCGGCCTTAGGTGGGAGACAGGGACTTGGAGATACGGAGCTGGGTAGCCATGGCCTCCTCTTCCCTTCCTTCAGAGTTGGACTTCTTATCCCTTGCCTGTACCCCATTTCTTCCTGCCCTGCTCTTCCTGTCTCCTCCTCAGGTGAACAAGACTCTAAAGGCCACACTGCAGGCCCTGCTGGAGGTGGTGGCATTGGAAGACGGGGACGTGCTTGACTCCTTCCAGGCCAGTCCCTCCACTGAGTCCCTCAAGTCCACCAGCTCGGACCCAGGTGTTCGGCAGGCTGGCCGGAGGCGGGGCCAGCAGCAGGAGACTGAGACCTTCTACATCACGGTGGGGAGGGCTGGGCTGGGGGGCAAGGATGGGGTACAGGGAGGGCCCAGAGCTGGGACTAAAACGGAGGGTTCTTTGGGGGGCTTCCCAGAAGCTCCAGGAATACCTGAGTGGACGGAGCATCCTTGCCAAGCTGCAGGCCAAGCATGAGAAACTGCAGGAGGCCATTAATCGAGGTGGGCCCCATTCCTGGCCCCCTTAGTCTCTTCCACTCCACCCCAGGGCCAGGAGCAGCACCTGCCCTTGGCTCTCCTGCCTTGGGACTTCACCCCGCCCATGCTCCTCTCTGCCAAGGGAGGTTGGTCGGTACGCAGGAAATAACCAGCAAGGGTCTTGGCCTCTATTGCACCCTTGGCCCTGCTACCACCCTTGGCCTTTAGGCCGTACCTTTCTCTCTGCCGTGTATGAAGGAACTCCTGGCCTGAGAGGCACGCCAACGTTTTCTGTTTTACAGGTAACAAGGAGGAGCGGCAGGTGCCTTGGTGAGTCCTTCAGGAGGGGCTAGTTTGTTTCAAGGAGCTGGGGCTCTGCAGGGATCAAGCTGTGATGTCCCCACCATCCTTCTCTTTGGGGCCCAGCTCTGCTGCTCATTCCTCTGTGGCCTCAATCTCACACATTGCCCAGTGGATTCTGGAATAACTCGAAAGCTCTAGGGCCCTGTTTGGTTGGGCTGGGAGAGGGGGTGGGCCATCCTATTCCCCATGCTCACAACCCTTAGAGCCAGCTCTCATTTACCACAGGACTCAGTACACACAGAGAAAATTGCAGAAGAGCCACCACCCCCGCCCCAGCTCCCAGTATAACCATAAGCTCTTCGGGGGAGACATGGAGAAGTTTATCCAGGTACTCGCTTTGCCTCACCCTCCAACTAAATGCAGACCCTCCCCCTGGATTCTGGTCCCTCTCCAGCCCTGGGCCACCTCTGTGGCCTGGCTGCCTGTGACCCCAGTGTCCTTCTTTGCCAACCACTCATTAGCCCACCTTCCTGGGTGGGCCATTGCCAGTCCTCCACTGATCAAAGGGACCGTCCTTAACTAGTAACCGGCATCTACAGAAAGCCGCAGGCAGCAGCTAGCATTTGCCATGATGTGATTATGTATGCAAACATTCAAAAGAGTTGATGGACTATTTAAATGAACAAATTTGAGTTTTGCAATGTTACATGATTTGAGGTCAACATACAGAATCAGATTACATTTTCACGTGCCAGCAATAAACAGCAAGTAAAATGTAAGGCCCCGCCTAAAATGGCACCAGGGACATCAGACACATGGGAGCGAGTCTTGCAAGCCGCATGTCCTCGCTGCCAACAACCATAATGCACCGTTAAGATAAAATAAAAGTGAGCGAATGACAAAGTGGGACTTGCTGTGTCCAGAGAGAAGTGAACACCCTCTCTGTCCCCAGAGCTCAGGCCAGCCCGTGCCCCTGGTGGTGGAGAGCTGTGTCCGCTTCATTAACCTCAACGGTAAGCCTGGCACCCAGCACCTGGCACCCATCTAGAGGGGGTGGGGAGAAGCCTTACCCGGCTCTCTGTCCTCCTGCAGGCCTGCAGCACGAGGGCATCTTCCGAGTGTCGGGTGCCCAGCCCCGGGTCTCAGAGATCCGCGATGCGTTCGAGAGAGGTGGGGACAGGCAGGGTGGGGTGGCGGTGGAGGGCTAGCTAGAATGGGTGGGATCAGCCTTCTTGCACCCTGTGTGGTGTTGTCCTCAGGGGAGGACCCACTGGTGGAAGGCTGCACGGCCCATGACCTGGACTCAGTGGCTGGGGTGCTGAAGCTCTACTTTCGGAGCCTGGAGCCCCCACTCTTCCCCCCCGACCTATTTGGAGAGCTTTTGGCTTCTGCAGGTGAGACGGGGGCCTGAGGCCAGCCATATGGGAGGGGCCAATCCCCAGTGGCCTGTGACTACACTCATGGCCTTCTTTCCTCTTCGGTGGTGGCCTTGGCCACAGAGTTGGAGACCACGGAGGAGCGGGTAGAGCTCGTGAGCCGCCTTCTGGCACAGCTCCCAGGACCGGTGCTGGTGGTCCTGCGTTACCTCTTCACCTTCCTCAACCAGTGAGTGCTTCTTAGGGGACAAGGGCGGCTGATGTGGGAGGTGCAGGGGCTACTGGGCAGGGAGTTCCCTGCTGGTGACCCACATGTACCCCCAGCCTGGCCCAGTATAGCGATGAGAACATGATGGACCCATACAACCTGGCCGTGTGCTTCGGGCCGACACTGCTGCCCGTGCCCCCTGGGCAGGACCCTGTGGCCTTGCAGGGCCGGGTGAACCAGCTGGTGCAGACGCTCATTGTGCAGCCCGCACGGGTTTTCCCACCCCTGACCCTCCTGCCAGGCCCTGTCTACGAGAAGTGCATGGCACCGCCTTCCGCCAGCTGCCTGGGGTATGCTCTTTGTGCTGCGGGGGGGGGGGGGACATCCAGTGAAGGGGAGCCCCCTCAACCACTTATCCTCCTCGCTTTGCTCTGGACCTCAGGGACACCCAGGTGGAGGGCCTAGCAGGGGAGAACGAGCCGGAGCTGGAAGCCGGGATCCCAGTTCAGGAGGATGGTGAGGGTGTCGGGAAGGAGGACCCCACCCTGTTCTTGCCCTGGATGCCCACTCTGCTCCCCACTCAGACCCCTTCTTCTCCCCAGCCCTGGAGGGGGTGGTGGAGGCTGTGGCCTGCTTTGCCTACACGGGCCGCACAGCCCAGGAGCTGACCTTCCAGCGCGGGGATGTGCTGCGGCTGCACGAGCGGGCCTCAGGCGACTGGTGGCGGGGAGAGTGTGCTGGCACTCGGGGACTCATTCCTCACAAGTACATCATGTTGCCTGAGGGGTGAGTGAGTGCCCCATGCTGCCAGGAGGCTCTCCACAGCTTCCCTTCCACCCAGGTCCTGGCCCTTCCCATATGCCAAGTCCCGGGGTCTGTAGACTTTCTGCGTGCCCTTCTGACCGCTTCTGGCTGGCACGGAGGCACAAAGCCCTCTAGCCCCAGAACCCTAAACAGGACATCTTTCTGACCCCAGAGCAGAGAAGCACATGGTGGGCCAGGGGCTACAGGCTTCAGGGGAGCTGCTGAGCAGTCCAGAGAGCCTCCTGGCTATGGAGTTCATCCATCGGTGAGCAAGGGGAATTCGGCCCCTCCTGAAAACCCCTTCTAGTGACCTCAGCTGACCACTGCTCTGGGGGCCAAACCTGTCCCAGGAGCAGGCAACGGGCCAGGCTGGAGGGCGCTGGGGTCAGGTTTTGGGTACACGGAGAGGGGTCCAGTGGGGGGAGAGTTGTCTGGGTGAAAGATGCCAAAGGAGGACAGAATGGACCCTTTGGGCCAGCCTCACTGCCTTTTTCCTTTGGCCACACCTTGAGACGGGAGGAGCTACTGCCAGGTTAGTGCAGACTTCCCAGGGCCCCGTCAGACTCCCTGTCTGTGCCCTGCAGGCCAGAGCCAAGCACCCCCCCTGGGGGCCCTTCTGGGCACAGACGGCACTGCTTGGTCCCAACCTCCCCAGAGCGACATGTGGAGGTGGATAAGGTGAGAGTGGGGACTGGCTGAGTGGCAGGTGGGGATATCTCTTCTTGGGGGGTATCTCTGCCTCCCCTTATAAATCAAATTCTTTCTTCTTGAGGTTTGAGTTTGGCCTTCCTGGCCTCAGACAAGCTGGCTGAGCCCAACCAAGGAAGGGGCAGGCCAGCAAGGGTGTAAGTGAGGGGAAGGACGGGCCCAGCAGCAGAAGTCAGGGGGACATTGGAGGCTCATGCATTTGAACTTCACGATTGATTCTTGAGTGGAAAGTGGCGAGTGGTATGGGCGAGGTGCTACTAGGCTGGCTTCAAGGCTAGAATCTAGAGTCAGGCTAGGGGACAGGTGGTGACAGGTGGTGACATGGCAGGAGCTTGGTGGGCCAGGGAGAATGAAAGGGACAGATGGGAAAGAGGTTGGAGGGGGTGGCTGGCTGTGGAGCTGGGCAGAACAGTGGTTCTCTCAAGGGAAGAGAGGGGGTGCTGTGCACGGCCCAGGGAGGTGTGCAGCCCGGGGACCCCTGGCTCCCTGTTCTGTCTGATGGGCCCACCTCCCCCACCTGATGGCGCTCCCAGCTGAGACAGTCATTACAGCCACACCGAAAGTGGCAGGGGGCAACTGGGCAAGGCAGGAGGAACGGTAGCTTCAGGCCCACAGAGAGGAAGGGCCTGGTGACAGGTTGGTGGCAGAGGACTTTGTTTTCGGAGTGGGGAATTCTGGTGGAGGCTTGAGCAGCAGAGGGTAGGAAGGCTTTACTCCTGGGTTAGTTGTCAACACACTGACCTGGGAGTGGGGAGAGTGGCTGGGTGGTAGGGGACACTCCTACCAGATGCCTTCCCTTTCTCACCCCTCCGCCAGGCTGTGGCGCAGACCATGGACTCCGTGTTTAAGGAGCTCTTGGGAAAGACTGCTGTCCGCCAGGGCCTCGGGCCAGCACCCACCAACTCTCCCAGCCCCGGGCCCCGCAGCCCGAAGCCTGTAGGCTGCAGCCGCCTTGGCAAGAACAAAGGGTTCTCCTGAAGCCCTGGGGCACCAGCCTCACCCTCAGTGTCCCAACCTCAGGGCCTGGACTCACCCCTCAAACCACACTGAGGTGCTTCTGGCTCCCCCTCACTCTAGGGGGTCACTGGCAAGACCTTCCACCCTCCCCAGGCCCTTTGCTTCTCCCTAGCCCTGTCCAGCAAGCATGAAGCATCTGCTTTTGACCCTTTGCAGAGAGGACATAGCTGCCCAAACATGTTCCTGCCTGCCCCAGCCCCGGCTTAGGCCCCTTTGGGGAAGCAGCCAAAGGAGGCTGAGGGCAGGCCCCTCCCCAGCTTTTCTGTGAGGGCTCATCAGTGGCTGGTGGATGGTGGGTGTCCTGCTCAGATGAGCATGCCCACCAATGCCCAGGCCCTTCTCTGCCTCAGCTGAGGCATGAGACTGGCAGGGGTTGGCAGGCATTGGCAGCCATTCATAAAGACTTGTGCATTGACTCCCCAGCGTGAACCAGTTCTCTTGTCTTGGGGGACTGGGCAGGTGGGTACCGGGCCAACTCCCTGGCACCCTCATTGCTTGAGGCCAGATGCCAGGGTGCTCAGCAAAGGTGGCAGATTGGGAGTCTGGACCAGCTTCTGCTGGGGGTAGTGGGGGGTTTGGCACAGGGCTGTGTGGGTTGGGGACTTGTACATTTGAAGGCTCAGTCACCTGCATCATGGGTTCCAAAGTCATACATATATCTGTGAGGGGGGGGGGGTCTAAGAACATCTTTCCATGCCACCTTCATACCCACTGTTAGCCTGATCCAAGGAGACTCACTGGGTGGAAAATAAGCTGACATTTTTATTTTTAGGGAGAGAGTGAGAAAGAAGGCAGAGGGGAACTGGAGAGGTGAAGGTCCCTGGCCTCACCCCCTTTCATTCCTCCTGGGTTCCCTAGGACCTCCATCTCCCAGGCAGGCACTGACTGAGGTGGAAGCCATGGGCCCCCACCATGCTGCAGCAGCCCCTCCCCATACCCTGCACCAAGGGGCCGACCTCCTGGGCCTCTCACAATTGGGAGCCAATTCCCAGTGGGCCCTCCTCTCCCAGTGAGTCCCAGGGCCAGGCCCTGGCAGGCAGCTGAGCTTTGTGGAACCTCTGGAAGGAAGGCGCCCCCTGGCTTCTCAGGAGGAAGTGTCCTTGGCCAGGAAGGAGCTGGCAGTGGCACAGGACTCCTCTTGGGGCCCCAGGCTGGGTGGGGTGCGCCTCTGAGCGCAGCAGAGCAGGCTGCGCAGCTCTGAGGAGACACTGCTGCTGAAGGAGGCATAGATCCAGGGGTTGGTACAGCTGTTGAGGCTGCCCAGCAGCATAAGGAGCACAAAGGGGGGCCCTGTGTAGGTAAAGGAGAAGGGTTGGGGCTGAGGGTGCCCAGGCAGGGCTTTGACCCCATGTGCCTATTAGGGGCTCATGAGCCCATGGCTGAGTGTGGGGGCAGGTAGAGATGCACCTGCAGCCAAGCCCGAGCCCTCCCCATAGCCCAAGCCACAGCCACACCCACCTTCCAGAGGTGCCTGTGGGTCCCACGCTGCCCACAGCTGCACAAGGAAGAAGGGAGCCCAGCACAGCACGTAGACGATTACAATCACTAGCGTCATCCTCACGGTCTTGGCCATGGCTGCTGACACAGGGGCTCCCTCCCTGCCTGTCCGGCGCCCTCCTCGGCGCCCCCTGGCCCTCTCTGCTGGCCCCAGCACCAAGCTGGTATGAATCTCCCGGAAGATGAGCACCTGACAGGCAGCAATGCCCAAGGCAGGTGCCACAAACACCATTAGGGCAATCCAGGTTACGTAAGCACGGAGACCCCAGGGTTTGGCAAACTGGGCCCAGCAGTCGATGACCCCGCTGCGGTCTTCCACTTCACGCCGGGCAAAGATGAATAGCTGGGGCAGGCTGAAAAGAAGAGAGAAGGCCCAGGCCACCAGCACTGGCCGGTTCCAGTGAGCTCCACCTCCATGGCGGTATGCCAGCATGGGGCGGCAAATGGCACGGTGGCGGTCTAACGTCATGGCCAGGATCATGTAGGAGGAGGCATACATGCCCACCATCTGCAGGTACTTGACAGCCCGGCACAGGACATCAGGCCCTTGGAAGCGGTCGGTGGCATCCCAGGCCAGCTGGGGCAGCACTTGGAACAGAGCCACAACCAGGTCAGCCAGGCACAAGTGGCCGATGAAGACATGCATAGGCGCCCAGCGGCCCCGCCGGCCCCGCCGTGCTAGGGCCCCCAGCACCAAGCTATTGCTCAGGGCCACAGCCACAAAGACTATGGAGAGCAGGGCCAGCTCCGCCTGAGCCAGCAGCTGGTTCCGGGGGTCCCCAGGCTTCTCCTTGCTGCTGTTGCCAGGTGGGAGAGGTTGAGAGAGGGGTCGAGGCACAGCTGGGCAAGAACAGGGTGGGGAGGGGGCAAGTTAGGGCGTGTGCTCTGAAGGGGAACCAGAGAAACCAAGGAGGTTCCAACTGGCCAGTGGCCTGCGTCTTCCGCTTTCATCTCACCAGCAGAGCACACATCATCCCCCCACCTCACATGGTAGGGAGGGAAGGGCAGCCCCAGCCCCCATGGGCAGCCTGGAGAGAAGGGTGAAAGAGGTCTCTGAAAGAGGGACTTCTCAGATTCAGCCAAACCCACTCCAGCCAACCCCACTCAGCCCACTTGGCTCATCCCTGTGTGGGAAGGGGAGGGACCCAGTGGCTAGAACCTTACCAGAGATGGTGGAAGCCATGAGCATGGTGGGGCTGGGGCTGTGTCCTGAGCACCTAGAGGAGATAGGGTGGCGAGCTTAGCCTCCATCCAAAGGGCCAGTCTCTGGACAGAGGCCCTTAGAAAGGTGCGTGGGTGGCACAGTGTGTGTGTGGTGGGGTGGGGGTGGGGGTTCCAGCCTATGCATGCAGCTGTGTGTGCACACGCCCGCGTGTTTTCCAGCGATCAGGCACTGGGGTGTGTGTGTGTGCGCATGTGTTTCCTTGCTATCAGCAGCTGGGGGTACACCCTTAGCTGGATCACGGTTGGTGAGGTCTGGCCCCACTGAACCACACATGGACCTCCTATGTTCCTCCCAGGACTGGGCAGGGGAAGGTAGACAGAGGGCCAATTAAACAGATAGACAAACCGAGCCTAGGACCCACCGAGGCAGTCCACAGACCTAAGGCAAACATACAGAACCCCCTCCCTAACAGAAGCCAAGAGAGGAGCCATGGGACAGCTGGGGACTGGGGAGGAAGGGCCAGTGTGCCCCTGGGGCCCCTTGCAGCCCCTTACCTGGCCAGGGTCCTGGGTTCCTGGGAAGCTGGGTAGCAGCGGGCTCTAAGGTGTCCCAGGAGCTCAGATCTGCTCTCCATCGCCCGCCCCACCCCAACCCAGCCTCTGGGAGTGACCTGCCCAGGAGTGGACTTCCTCCCCTCCTCCCTTTGCGCCTCCCCTGGCCTCCTGCCTGTGGCACCGGGAAGGACTGCTTCCCTTCCTGCCCCCAGTCCCTCCCAGGTTTGTCCCCAGGATTCCATTCCTGAGGGCCCTGAGGCTGGTCCCTAGCTTGGCCCAGCTGTGACCGCCAGGCTGGCTACCCTCCCCTGTCTCTGCCCCCGCCTCACTCACCCACACAGGGCCCACCTCACTAGAATGTCGGATCTGACAGGGCTCTGCGAGATCACTTAGTTCAGTATCTTCATTTTATAAGTGGGGAAACTGAGACCAGAGGCGGGTGGGACTGGCTCAGGATCATACAGCTTTGTTGTGGCAAAGCTTGACTTCTCTTTCCCAGGCCAGGCTCCTGTCTCTCTTTGGTCTGGAGTGGGGAAAGGGCGAGAGCTCAAGGGATCCCCACTAACATAGAGTGCCGGCCCCTCCCAGCCCACGAAGGCCCCTCCCACTCCTCAATTAGGGCCAGCTGGAGATGAAGGACAGGAAGGGAGGAGGTGGGGTGGGATCGAGGTCTTAACCTGCCCTGTGAGATCCAGTTTCCTCCCCAAGGCCCAGTGGGAGCCAGGGACACCCCTGCCCTCTTCCTCCTCCCCGACCTGAAACTACCTGTCCTAGGAGGAGGGGGCTAATGAGTTCCTGCGCTCATGCATATTCCACTTCTCCCTCCCCTTTCTCCCCCTCCCTCTTTTTCTCTCACCCCCTCTCTCTCTCACACACACCCTCACTTATATGAAATAGCCGTATGCCCACAAAGGTACACACACCTGGCATTGAAGACACAGACACACACTGATGTTCCTGCACTCTGTGTGGAGGGCCTGAGAGAGGAGCTTCCCCGCCAGGGGCTTCAGGGCTGGCCATTCCCTGCCTCCCCTCCCCTCCTTAGGCTCCAGGATTCCCTCCAACTCTAGCCCATCATTTTCCCCCATCCCAGGAGCCCTCTTTCCACCCCTCCCCCACCTTTGCCACAGGCCTTGGCCTTGCTCAGCCCCAGCTGGCCCAGCCCAGCCCAAGGCAATGGCCTGCACACTGCCAAGGGCCAGACTCCGGCCTGAGTTCGACTCCTTTTTCCTGTTTGTCTGTCTCCTCTGTTGACCTGCAAGCCAAGAGACCGAAACAGCCCCTCACTGACCAGGCCCAAGTACAACCAAGGCCATGTCCTTCTCTTCCTAGCCAGAAAGACTGGCTGTACCCCAGCTCCTCCCAGCCTCTGTCTGGGCAGTAGGGGATGTGGGGGCAGGGGTCTTATACACACACCACACCCCCACCCTACACACTGCACACATAACATACAGCACATACCACACCCACACACACACAGAACCCAGTGCACACACATGCACACTGCACACACACACCCCCTACACCCCGACATTACACATGTGCCAGCTTGGAATCGCCTCTGTGGTCTTGGTCTCCAGGACTCTCCCAGCCTTGCAGGTGAGGTGGGACCTCCCTGGTCCCCTGCCCCGCCCCGGGAACTGAGGAGCCTGCAGAGGAGCATACATCCCTGCCTTGCCATTCCCCAGCTGCGTGACCTCACACAGGCTATGCCCAGCTCTCTGCGCCTCAGCTCCCCCTCTGTACACTGGGAATCTAATGACTGAAGGTCAACCTACGGTGGCAGGATGGGCAAGGACCTGAGCCAACAGGCGATGAGCCTCCAGAAACGTCTGCTTTCACTCCACACGGCAGTGCTAGAGGCTGGGGAGAGAAGCTCCTGAGACTGGTCAGGAAGTGGTGCCAGCCTTCCCGGGCATTCATTTCCTTATGAGTTTCTCTGCTTGGATTCGACAGAGGCCATGCATGCAGGGCTAGATCCCAGCACACAGCTGACACCGGGCGGGGTGCCTGAGCCATGAGGCCAGGCCCATGACCATCTCTGTTCGGTGCACTCCTTGTTTCCTGTTGTTGAGCGCAGTGAAAAGTCTTGGGGAAGGCCCCCCTCTTGTGGTTTTCTCTGGGCTCCACGAAGCAAGGGGAGGGGTTTGTGTTCACACTAAGGCGGGGACATAAAGGGAAGCTGCTCATAGAACTCCCCCTGGTCAACCAGAATAAGTACCAGGGACCTCTGAGGAACTGAGAGCTAACAAGGCAGGAGGGTGTGCCAGAGAGAGTCTGGTTCTTCAACCGAGAGCCCCGAAGGCTCAGGAGCCCATGGGTACACGTGCTGGCGCTGCATGGGCACTGTGTCAGGTGAGAGGCCGGGCCCGGCTGAGTCCCACTGCTTATAGCAAGGAGCGGGTCAGAGGTGAAGGCTCCAGGCAGGCCCATGCTCCAGCCACTGCACAGAGGACAAGAAAGCTTGAGCTTGGCAACAATTCATGGGAAGAAAGGCTGATTGGATTATTCAGTCAAGGCCACGTCAGCAGAGATGGCACTCGGCTGTCCAGAAGGCCATGCCCCTTGGGCAGCATGAACTGAGAACAGGGCACATACCTGCAGACAGGCAGATGACTGGGGGCTCTGGAGAGGCGAGAGAAGGCAGGATCCCTGAGAAGTGTTTGAGGGGGTAGCATAACTGGCCCGTGTTCACTCTGGGGAGCAGTGGAAAATTCCTCTGGAAGGCTGGAGAAGGGCTTGGCCATGGGGCTGACCAGTTAGCTTCAGTGGGCCTCAGGCCTGGGGCAGGACTGAGCAGACACCCTCCTCATCCCCCAGGCCCCCCAGTGCAGTCCCCTCTGCCCTGCCTTCCACCATCTCCCTCTAAGATTTCACTTACAGAAAGAGTTCCGTGGGTGTGGGCCTGTGTCTCCACTAGCCCGATGTCTGAGCAGAAGAGGACAGAAGGCCCGGGAAGCAGGGAGTGCTGGCTATCCCAGGTGCCAGCCACTGGGGCAGGAGATCAGAACGGCAGGACCCCAGATCTGCCTGTCCTTCTCTGTCACTGGCTCTCTGTAATCAGAACCTTTTGCTCAACAAACAACGAGTTCTGCTGACCCTGCACTGTGGATGCGGAAGTGAAAAGACCGGGTCCTGCCAGGAGGAGCACAGGGTCCTGAGCTGAGAGCAGTGGGGGCAGAGAGGCTGGGAGAGAAATAGTGGGACGTGATTAATGCCACCAGGCAGTGGGGGTGAAGAGGGAAGGCATTTCTTGGGTCCTGGATAGACCCTTGAAAGACATTTGGGATGAAAGATTAAGAGGAGTCAGCCAAGGCCATGGAGAAGGAGTCATAAAAAGCAGGGAGAACTTGGGTTCACAAGGCTAGAAGGAGAGACAGGTGCCCCGAGGGAAGGAAAGACACAGCAAAGCTGCTGAGAAGCCCCGGGAAGGAGAGAGGGCCCCCAACTGGGCAGCCCCCTGACCGACTGGGTGCACATTGCAGATGGTGGATCCCGCGTGGCAGTGGGAAGAATGAATGAGCTCACACCGAGATGATACCTAGGAGCACTATGAGGAGAGTGGATGTCATTCAAATGCCTAGGAGAGGCTTGGATGGGGTAACAGAGCATTGGGTCCAAGGGTGGGATTGCAAGGGGGAAAGTGTGCATGTGTGCTTGCAGGTGTTCACTGGGACAAGCATGGGCCAGCGACAAGAGGAAGATAGGGTGTCCACTCATCTGACGGCCAAAGTAAAGTGAATAGTAATTTTAAAAAGTTAGACAAAGCTGTTTGCAAAGTTGTGGGAGGGAAGAGAGTGATAGAATCAAGGTAATTACCTCTGTCTGATTCATTAATGAACCTCCAGCTCGCACCATCGCCACCACACACATCCTTCTTCCCCCCCCCGGCCTTTCTTCCCCATGGCTGCTTTGTCGGTGCGCAGTACGTCCACTGCTCTGGCTGCCACGGCCCAAGCAATGACTTCTCTCCTTGTTCTGAAGGACTTTTTTTTTTTTTTAATCCTCACCCGAGGATATTTTTCCATTTTTTGTACAGATAGAGTGGGAGGGAGAGAGAGGAAGGGAGAGAGAGAGAGAGAAACATTGACGTGAAGGGACACATCGAGTGGCTGCCACCCGCACGACCAACCAGGGCCGGGGACAAACTTGCAACCGGGAACCGAACCCGGGTCTCTCTGTACCGCAGGCCGACGCTCTAACCGCTGAGCCAAACCGGCCAGGGCTCTGAATGACTTTTAAAAATAAGCTTTATTGAGGTATGATTAGCATAAAATAAAATTCACAAATTGATGAAATTTGACACATGGATACAGTTATGCTACTACCACCATAATCATGATATAGAATGTTTATAGTCTGGTTGCCTCCCGTATAAGCCAAACCGTCCAGGTCTCATGTCTGGCTTTTTTTTTTTTTTTTTTTTCATCCTTACCCAAGGACATTTTTGCATTTATCCTAAGATAGACCAGGAGGGAGGGGAAGAGAGAGAAAGAGAAACATCAACTTGAGAGAGACACAACCCCATCCGGGGCGGGGACAAACTGCAACCCAGGTACGTGCCCTTAGTGGGAACTGAACCCGGGTCTCTCTGGTCTGCAGGCCGATGCTCTAACTGCTGAGCCAAACTGGCCAGGGCATGTCTAGCTTCTTTCACTTAGCGGAATGCCTTTGAGTTCCTCTCTGTTGTGTCTCAGGAGTTTTTTCCTCTTAGTTCTAAGTAGTGTTCCATTGTATGGACGAACCACAGATCATTTATGCCAATACTAATTGATGGATGGGCATATAAATTGTTTCCAGTTTGGGGCTGTTATGAAGAAGGCTACTCTGAACACTTGAGTACAAGTCTTTGTATGCACATGTTTTTCTTTTTTTTTCTTTATTGATTTTAGAGAGAGAGGAAGGGAGAGGGAGAGAGAGAACATTGATTGGCCGTCTCCTGCATGCCCCCTACTGGGGATCAGGCCCACAACCTGGGCATGTGCCCTGACTAGAAATCAAACTGGTGACCTCTTGGTGCATGGGTCGATGCTGAACCACTGAGTCACACCATCTGGGCTGTATGCACATGTTTTAATTTCCCTAGATAAATCCTTAGAGTGGGACTGCTAGGTCATATGATAGATGTATATTTCAGTTGAGAAGAAACTGGCAAATGGGCTCTGGCCCATGTGACTCAGTTGGTTAGAGCATTGTCCTGTACACTAAAAGGTGGTGGGTTTGATTCCCAGTCAGGGCACATACCCAAGTTGTGGTTTCATTCCTAGTTGGGCATGTGCGAGAGGCAGCCAATCAATATTTCTGACTCATATAGATGTTTCTCTCTCTCTCTCTCTCTCTCTCTCTCTGACATGACAGTTCCATTTATGCTGCATCTTTGTCAGCACTTACTATGAACAGTCTGTTTTTTTTAAGCCTCTTTAATCTTAACCATTTCTGTGATATTTTATTGGGGTTTTATTTTGTATTTTCCTTATGACTGATGATGGTGAGAACCTTCACATGCTTATTTGCCATTTGTACATATTTGTTGGTGAAGTAGCTAGTCAAATCTTTTGTCAAATTTTTTTTTATTATCTTTTTTTATCTTCACGGGAGGACATTTTTTGTATTTATCTTCAGATAGAGTGGGAGGGGTAAAGAGAGAGAGAGAGAAACATTGATGTGAGAGAGACACATCGACTAGTTGCCAGCCACATGACCCCAACTGGAGCCGGGGACAAACTGCAACCGAAGTACCCTTAGTGGGAACTGAACCTGAGACTCTCTGGTCAGTGGGCTGAC